CGCTGTTTCCGAGGAAATTTCCTTTGATTCCGGTTAAAACGTACTATGCTTTCGTACGTAATATGACGCACATCATCAGTTTTCTTACTCGTAGCTTGAATTTGGTTGTCAGAAGGATGCTTTGCCCTGATAATGACCGTCATATGACAGACGAAAACTTAGTACGTTTTCACTAGAATCGAAGGAAATTGCCTCGGAAACAGCGTCAACATCAATGCTCCAGTAAAGCCACTCTGCCATCGTCTTCTGGTGGAATTGACCTTCGAATATCTTCACTGCACACTTTCACTCGAAATGGAAGTAAGCTCAACAAACCATAAAACTTATATAGTTTTCGAGCTTTAATTTTTTTCAACTAAAAATCATTTTTCAAATCCTTATTTTGCTGCCTGACTTGAATGGTCAGTTAAATAAATAAATAAAAATTTCGAATTTTATCCCACCTACAATAATAATAAAAAATAATAAGGAGACTGAAAAACGAGTCTGTTTTTTATTCTAAACTAATGTTAGTTTACAATCCTAATCATTCAGAATGAAGTAAAACTCTGAAATACGGGCTTTCCTAAAATAAATTCCTACAATAAATAAGAGGCGAGCATAAATGGAATTTAATGGCATGGTGAAGCCTAAAAATTACATTTTGGGAAGTCTAACTATCAGTTTTTACGTCATTTTAAGCGACCTAGGGTGACTTAAATTATTATTAAGTAATTAAATGATTTAGAAACCTATACGATTTTAAATAAGGATTCTGGATAAACTTTCAAGGCTAGACTCAACGCACTTCGTCATCGAGATTATATGACCTAGAGTCAATACGTAATAGGTCTTATTTGGTAATATTATGGCTGAATACCTAAAATATAAAGATTTATTTTTAACCAATAAAAGCAGATTTCTGTATATTGTCAGCGTGCAATAAGTAATAATGACTTGGTTGAGTTAGTGAATGGCTAGATGACAGAAAAGGATAATTTTCTTTTAAATTTGTGTTTTTTATAAATGTACACTAACCTTGCACTAGTGGGGTCTCATTGGGAAATCGTATAAGAAAAATAGTTATGGGACCCTGTTTGTGCCTTATTGTAGCAAATAAATGAATTGTTTTCCCATTTAAAATACATTTTTGCTTACAAATTTATTAGTTCTGCACATAGACAAGTATTCTGCCGTTTAAAAGCACGGCAAAAAAGTCTGCATAATTCCTTGAAGTCCGCGAATACAACAGATGGCACAATTAAATTTACTGTAAAGTAAAGCCAGATTATTTGCCAAAATTTTTAGATGTGATTGTTAGTAAAAAGGAAAACGAACAAAGTA